AGCAAGCAGCCGGGTCGATATGAACATCACGGCACCACAAACACTCCCCATTTTAGAGCATAGAAATGTCTCGTGGAGGGCGCCCGCACCTCCGAGAGCGTATCAAGCACACGAGAATGCAGGGCGGTCAGCTCCTCTTATATCCCCGAAGCAGCCACACATGATGGCTCAATAACTCCGGGTTGGGGTGCCACACCGAGCTGCTCGATGGGACGGCAGATCCTTCCTGATGGTGATCGGCCAGGGCGGTGCCACCAGTAGCTTTGTCAGGTCCGGGAACCAAGGCTGGTTCGGCCAGTTCGGGGCAACGAGTGTCTCCTCCCTCCTCCCTCCTCCCTGATCTTGCATATCACCAGCTGCATTATCTTGATCGGAGGAACGCATACAGCCTGGCTGCTAACCAGTGCGATGTCAGAGCGTCCCCTTCCAGCCGGGAGTGAGACAGGGAGAAGAACAGCGGGCAGTGCGCATTCTCGCTCGTGGCGAACAGATCCACCTCCGCTCTTCCGCAGCGGGTCCAAATCATCCGAACCGACTCGGGATGCAGCCTCCACTCTCCTTGAGGAATCCCCTTCCTCAAAAGCATTTCTGCCCCGCGGTTCAGGAGACCGGGGATGTGCGCTGCTCTGATGGAGAGAAAGTGACGGTCCGTCCATAGCAAGAGATTCGCTGCCTGCTTGTACCGAGTCTTGGATCGTACGCCCCCTTGGTGATTTATGTACGACACCACAGACGTTGTCGGTGCGAATCAGTACATGTCGCTGTTCCAGCTGAGGCCGTAAATCCTTTAGAGCTAAGAACACTGCTTCCAGCTCCAAGCGGTTTATGTGCCACCGGCTCTGAGGTTCTGACTACAGCCCTGAAGCCGGCATGCCCTCGCACACTGCTCCCCATCCGCGAGTCGACGCGTCCGTCATGACCACGACACGTGATGTCATCAAGCCCAGGGGAAACCTCCCGGCTGAGGATCTTGCGCCACGGCATCATGGCTTCGATGCAGCAGCGGGAGACCGTGATGCGCAAACGGTCCAAAGTCCACGCCGTCCAAGGGGCTCGAGATTTCAGCCATAACTGCAGCGGGTGCATGTGTAGTAAGCCCAGATGACATAGTGATGCCGCTGCCATGAGTCCCAGCAGCCTCTGACATTTCTTCAAGTGCTCAGAGCTGCGTCCATGCACTTCGAAAAAGTGTGCAGGGTCAAAGCCAGCCCAAACGGGAGAACAGAGTACTGGTACACTGTGCCTCGAAAGCAAATCTCAGAAAGTGTCTGTGATGCTCTGCTATCTGAATGTGAAAGTACTCGTCCTATAAATTCACGGACGCAACCAGTACCCGGAGCGAATTCGTGGCAGGATCTGTTTTATCATCCTGAACTCAGGCTTGCAGAGCGCTCTGTTGATGGGCCTGAGATCTAGAATCGGGCGGAGTCCTGCATCTCTCTTGGGCACCATAAAAAGGCGGTTGTAAAAACCCGCTCTCCAGCTCGCTCGGAGGGACTCGTTCTACCGCTCCTTTTTCGAACAGGTTGCATACCTCTTGTCTCAGAACCAGGGCATTTCGAGGCAATGTTAGAGACTTCACCACGCCGTTGAAACGGGGTGGTCTGCGTCTGAATTCAAGGGCGTACCCACGCTCTGTCACACCGAGTAACCAGCGCGAGATTCCCGGAATAGTTTTCCACGTGCTCAGGAGCTGACATAGCGGCTTGGTCGTTGGATGCGCCGGCGAGTGCTGTGCAGCTATAACATGTGTGAGCAGCAGCTCTGCACCGCTCTGAGGCGGGGTGAGCGGCACTACATTGAGTGAGGAGGAAAGAGCTCTTTTGTGCACATGTATGCATTTTTTAATGAACCCACACACACATAAAACACAAATTAGAAAAATTTTGAGACAGCTTGGGGGCTGGGGCGATCGCGTAGGCTACTCTTCCCTCCTCTCCGGGCTGTCAGGACGACGGCTTGGGAGCGGGCTCCTCCGTTGCCGTGGTGCCTCTTCCCGGGTCCCTTTACATTTTTCTCCGCACATCCGGTTCCTGGCAGCAGCGGTCGCGGGCCTGGTGTCCCTGCACTGCAATGAGCCATGCGCCAAAGAAGACCTCGATCTCGTGGTCTGCTGCTGGAAAGCGCGCCTCGGCATAACGAGGCTCATTGCTTTGCATGGCGAGCATTTTAACCGGTGTGGGCGGCGGCATCTGTGCCTGTCACTACAGACTGTGAATGGCTATACGACCTAATTGAACACCACTTTGTAGGGGCGTGAACAATTGACGTAACAGTCCAGCGAAATCTGGAAGGCTGATATATATATAATATGCTAAACCAAATTTTTTTGTATATTACAATTAGTCTTACTTTTTGACTATTTACATGGTCACACTTTATTTTAAGGTCCAATTCCCGCTATTTACAAACCATTAACTATGACTTTTGCCTCAATAAACTTAAATTTTCTGCTTATTAATAGTTAATAAGGTAGTTGTTAAGTTTAGGTATTGGTAGGATTAGGGATGCAGAATATGGTCATGCAGAATATGCGCTTTATAATACTAATAAACAGCCAATAGGTTAATAATAGGCATGCTAATAAGCAACTAGTTAACAGTGAGAATTGGTCCCTATACTAAAGTGTTACCATTTACATTAAGCTAATGAAAGTTATCTGGAATCTTACCATCCCTGTGCAATCTTAAAAACAGCTTCTTTACTGGCATTGATGACTCCAAAAGAACATTCAGCATCCATTCTAACCTTTCTAGTGGAAAAATGTTCTTTTGATTATGGAAATGTCCTTTACACTATGAAAAACACTGCTATTTTAATAGCTGTCCACTGAAAGGTTCTTTGGGAAACTCAAAATGGTTCTTCTATGCCATTGCTGTGAAACCCCTTTTCCTGACCTTTATATTTAAGAGCGTGTAGTAATGCCATGTCAACACACCTGATAACTTCATCTATTTTCATGTTTGTTCCATGCAAAATATTCCATAAATGAAAAGATGCAAAGAAATGCTATAAAGGACGCCCTGACCCATTTCTGGTCTCAGCTGCAGACCGTTTACTCTTCTGTCTTTCTCAGTAGCTCAGTAAGAAGTGTGTGTATGCGTAAGGCCGAGACAGGCTAACAGATAAACATTTTTCTATTTTCATGCCAGCTCCCCTTGCTTTTGTAATTCAAATGCAGACACAGGAAACTGGCAGCCAGAAAGCACACACACACTCTTACACGGATGTGCGGCCATACACACACGCCTTGTAATGCTATCGACCCCTGGCCTCTCATGCAATGCCACACACACTGGTCTCTCAGTGCCTGCCTTCCAACTGATAACCAGAAGCCATCCTCCAAACCAGCGAAGGAGTGAACGACTGTGTGTGGGTTTGTGAGTTTAAGAGAGTGACAGAAATGGAGGAGAAAAAAAAAAAAGGCAGAAGACCTGTGTTTGTATCAGTTATCAGAAAGTATGCTTCTAAAAAGGTCATAATATCATGATTAATCAAATTTTCCTTGGGTGATTCTCACTAAACTGGTCAAGGTTTTTTTATATATATATATATTTCACTCACAAAATCAAAAGAAAGAAAAGAAGAAATTTTATTTTGCTTTAAAATAAATAAATAGGATCGATATGATTTTTGCATCAATGCATTGTCATATATACTCCCACCTCTTCTTCTTCCCAATATTACCAGTTGCATTTTCACTTTCCTGTCTGATAAACAGAAAAAAAGCTCTTCATCTCACAGCTGGAATAAAATAATCAGTTTATAAACAAAGCCTGAACAATGTCTTCTGCTTAAATTAATACCCGAGTTTCAAAGAGCATGACATATGACTCAGAAGAAACAATACATAACAAGAAAGAAAAAAAATATTTGCTTAAAGCTGCACAAATAGATGGTATGACAAAGCGAAAACACAATACTGCTACAAGCCCAAATAACAAACATCTACTAAAGCATTTTGAGGTTTTTCCTCCAGGTGGCGACAGCACACAACATTCACACAGCATGACAACACCTAAAAAAAATCACAATGGTCACAGCTCATCAACAGAAAAGCAACATACAAATCAAATAAAAATACGAAATATTTATTTAAACATTTTTCTGAAAGAAAATATTCAGCAAGGATGCATTGCATTGCTCAAAAATTGACAGTAAAGACTACATTGTTACAATAGATTTATATTTAAAATAAATGCTAATCTTTTGAACTATGTTATTTATTAAAGAATCCTGAAATAACGTATCATTTCCACAAAAATACTAAGCAGCACAACTGTTTTTAACATTGATGTCAATGAGAATTGTTTCTTGAGCACCAAATCAGCATATTAGAATGATTTCTAAAGAATCACGTGACACTGAAGACTTGAAGTAATGACCGCTGAAAATTCAGTTTTGTAATTCAGTAAATTACATTTTTTAAATATACTAAAATAGAAAACAGTTATTTAAAATGGTAAGAATAGTTCACAATCTTGCTGTTTTTACTGTATTTTCGATCAAATAAATACAGCCTTGATAACATCAGAATCAAATTCACTGAATGCATTCAAATGAAATCCTCGATTCAAGTTCACAAGCACACTTTCATAGTAACTTCTCAACAGATTCAAACTCTTCTTGCCCTAAACTCTGATGTCTCGTGCTGACAGATCCACACAGGAATCACACTATTAAAAAGCTCAGCAGCATAACACCAGTGTGAGAAAGAACAGCTTTATCCAAGTGCTGTCCTTTGACATTTTCACTGAACTGTTCCCATGGGAGTTTAATCGATATAAACTGTGTCAGACGCTTCTCTCTGTCTCATGGACAGAGCACCTCTTCACTATATGAGAGAAGAGATCATTACATTCACAAATGTCTACCTGGCAACCAATGAAAACGTACTATTGATTTATAATCATTACAGATAAAGATTTACAATTACATTTATACCTTAAGTTGCTAAATGGCCCAAATAAAAAAATGCAACACCCTCAAAACTCACTATGATATTCTGATTCCTTGATATGACTTGGGCCCTTTTTCAGTGCAAGCCTATTGGATTTCTTTTGTCCATTTTATACCAGGCAAATTCTTAAATGAGTCATATTATTCAATTGCAACAAGAAAGAAAAATAATTTTATTGCCTTAATATATGAATCACTTTTCTTCTAAGAGGATTTTACAGTAATATTTGTCCTTGAAGTACTGCTGTAGTACAACATCTATATCAGTAGATGGTGCCGTGTGTCTATCACACCAACATATATAAATGCATGCAGATATTTACAAACTATATATATTTGCTCCCCATTTAAACATTTGCACAGGATGATTCCAGACCTTTCTATCGCCCAATGGCATAAAGGTGTAACTAAATGTACATCTATCCGCAAAATAAATGTACTAATTTTCCAGCTAACATTAGGTTTTTGGACCATATTTGGCTTGGTCTTACTGAATAATATTCAGAAATGTTTATATTGACAGCAAAACCATTTCTCTTTATTGCTGACTTTCTTCTAAAAAATCACTTGATCGCTTTGAAGCCGTATGTCCCTCATACATTTCACTTGTGCTAATGATTCAATTCATTTTCATTACAGTGCAAAGGATTACTAGGCTGATCAGTTTGAGGAAAGGAGGGATTTTAAAAATAAGTTTTAAAAATGGTAATTGCTCACCAATATCCTCTTAAAAGGTTTGGAATCCGTATCCCCTTCAGACCCGTAATATCAGAACCAAAAAATAAAAGCTCTGTAGTGTGTTGCTAAATGTTCCTAGTCACCACAAAAATGTATCTAGTTGTGTGTGTGTGTGTGTGTACAGAACATTCTTAAAACTGTATTTTAAAGATAATATTTGATTTACCTTGTTGAGTAAGTTAAGTCCTTACAGACGTTGCGTTTGTTAAATGAAAACTGAACCAAAGAACAGCATAATTGCACCAAACAGAAAATTTGGCCCAGACACCACATTTGCTTTGTAAAACTTTCACTCTTTGCATAGCTTCTGTGAACACTCGCACTTCTTTCTGTCTGTCTCCTTTGGGTTTTGTGGCAAACTTAGTAGAGTTGAGTGGTTGTTGTTAGTGAAGACAGGTGCAGGCCTCACCCCCCCACCCCCACCCCACCCCACACACAGAGACACACACACACACACACACACACACACACACAGTAAAAACAGACCCAGTAGAAAGGGACTGGTCTGACAGAATGCCTTTTCACACCTGACTGGGCCTAGCATAGGGCGACAGGCCACAGCTCCCAAAGCACAACACACACACACTCACACACAGGGGTATCTGTACTGTATTTAACTTTGAGCCCTCTAGACTCTAGGATAGTTTAAAGGCCTTAAAGACCGTCTGTTGAGGGTGACACAATTTAAGTACCTACACACACAAACAGAACCAGGGCAGGACCCAGAGGATGAAAGTAATGCACAAGCAGATGGACTCAGCCCAGCAGAACCAAGTGGACCCGCAGGAAACCATCACACGCTATTTTACGCCATTATAAAGCCTACAGACTCAGGAAAGTCCACATATGTCATCCACGGAGGCGCAGGGCACCGGACAGCAATTCACTGTGACAGCAAATGGTCTTTTAACCTAGATATAACTCTTATTTTGGGGGTGCGATAAAATAGTTACCACTGATTATAACAATGATTTTAATTACACTACTGTAAAATATTTAATACTGGATCTCTTTCAAACTGTGTAAATCACCCTGCATTCTTTCTTTCTTTCATTCAGTGCATCTCATCTTGTTTTTTATTTACAATCAAGATTTTAAATTGGACATCACATGCACCAAAATTGTACCAACACAGTATCAAAACTGGGTTGCACTTTATTTTAAGGTGACGTTGTTACGGTCTAATATTACACAAATAATAATTATTTTTTAAATAATTAACTGCATGCACTTACTATAGGGTTAGTGTTAGGATTAGTTGCTGGTAATTATGTATAATTTATTATTTTTACTATAGTAAGTACATGTAACATTTAACTATGTTACCAATTATTTTATCTTACAAAAATTAAAATGTCAAAATACATTAAATATATTTCAGACATGCATTAATATTACCAAGCATAAGTCTGTCAACACAGAAAATTATCCACATGCTGAATATGAAAATTGATATTATATTATATTATTCTAAACAATTATAGTAAACAATAGCAGCAGAAGCTAATATCCGAGCCTGTAAAACGAAATTAGACAATTTGTCTTTAATCGTAAGAAATTATTATTTTTTTAATTATACTTTATTTTAGTGATTAAATTTTTTCTAAATTGTATTTATATACTTATTTTTCACTTTTTCCTTGCAGTCCACAACCTTAATAAGAATAAAACGGTGACCCACCAGAAACAATGGCATCAATTTACCACAGTTTTACTGTACAAACAATAACTGTAATAACTATGGTATTTTGGCAGAAACAACAGATACCATGACACGCTTTTCAAAGAGGGATAATAATAATATCCGTTTCCTTCTTTGTGCCATGAACTTAATTGGTACAAACTCAGGAAACACTATTTTTATTCAACACTGAGGGAAGAAATCAAAAAGCTCCGAAACAGTGAAAGTGAGAAAGATTTTTTTGAAAGACTTTTAACCCTCCAACGCAGCTCATTAACAGCCCTAGAGGCTACATTTTCTTTTCATTCCACCTTTCTTTTTTCTCTGTCTCCAGTCTGCCACCCCGCGCACCAGGCTAGCGCTAACGATCTGGCCTTTTCATTAGGAAGCCTAGCTAATTAGACTGTGTGTGTGTGTGACGGGTCGAGTGACTGCTCGGCAAGAAGAGAAGAGAAGAGAAGAGAAGAGAAGAGAAGAGAAGAGAAGAGAAGAGAAGAGAAGAGAAGAGAAGAGAAGAGGAAAAAGGACAAAGGAAATGGAACAGGGAAAATAAATAAATGAACTGAAAAGGAAAGGACAATAGTAGGATAAAAAAGAGGTGCAGTGTTGACAGCTCAAGCCGCCTCAACAGACACTGAGCGAGGGTGCTGTGAGCTTCCTACATCTCTCTGAAAATTTAAAGTGCTGGGGGCACAGCAGCTGGACTCATTTATACAGTTAGCTTTTCATTTAACCCCACCTGAGAGCCAGGCAGAGGCTTCAGCACCCCCTGTAGGGTTTACCCTGCTGTGTGTATTGAAGGAAACATTCAAAATCGCTAAGAATCTGCTTTCCTTTCCCTCACTCGCTGTGACAAGATGATACAGCAGTGAAGCTATTAAAAACATTTCCATACTGCCAAATACCAAAGCTGTTGATTTGAACCTCCAGACTTGTTTTATTATTATTATTAATTCAAGTGACTGCCCTTATGGTGTTGTTCTTTTTCTAAGGACAGTTTACTGCCTATTGGTTGTCTAAAACCATTGGAGCTTTGACAAAATGACTACATTTTTATAAACCCAAATATAGGAGGTGCTTTGATTGTGGGGAAATAAAGGTCTTTTGAACACTAAGGAACATCAGACAAATATTGAAGCCAATTTGAAGCAAGTTCACATTTTCACATCCAAATGAGCTTTGTGGCAAATTAAACACAAATAGTGTTTACAAGGGAATGTTCTCAGGGTGATTAGTGTTACAAAAACGCCAAACATTTTTGAATATCTGTTCAGACTAAATTCATGCATTTTCATACCCTAAACATGTAACAAATATGTAAATATGAAGAACTGAGGTCATTCATTATGAAGTAGTATGTTACAGTGAGCCAGAAACCATAAAGTAAATGGACTGATATTTGTTAACTCTCAGTGTTCATTAACGAATGCCACATAGCAGTTTTTGAGACTGCTGTAATTATAGATTATAAGCATAATTAAAAGTCATGTGCTGGCGGCTGAAGAGTTGTTTCTTCAGCTAACCAGTAAGATCAACTAGGGTCTGCATTCTATATTTACTTCTTATTCTAGATTCATAATCGATTAGAGATATTAGAGGGATGATGGCCACTGTGATTGTTATCATGTGATGTGAGAACTTACTGAGCCTAGATAATCAGAAAAACTTCTTACTTTGACTAATAGAATGCAGCAGAATATCTTGAAGCAGCACTGTTTAACTGCGCCCAAAACCTAAATGTGTTTGTTTGTCATGTTATGCATGAATGGGGCCAATTTCGTTTCAATTAAAACTATGCCAAAATTATATTAAAACCGCTTCCAAATCACAAGACAACAAAAGATGAACAAACTCAACTAGCTTTTACGGTGAGGGAATGTGTTCTTGTGTTCAAAAACACCATTGAACAGAACGCACGGATACTATATTTTACTGAATCTTATCATAAAAAAAAAAAAAAATCAACGCTCATCGCGTGAGATGCTGGGAAAAAAAAAACAATGCAAGACCAGGGGTCAAAGAAAAAAATAGTTTACTGCACTAATTGATCCTGACTTATCTCTAATTATAAAAAAAATTTCCGACCTTTGTTTTAACAAGATATATTTTTTATTTTTTCATCTCTCCTGCAGTTTCTAAAAGTAACATTTTGACTTGTTTCTCTTCCTCCCCCATTTCTGTCTCTCTCGGTGGGGTTGTTGTTGGGGGTGACGAGTGGAGCGTGTGTCCCACTCACAGCCTGTGAAGCGTCTGTCTTAATGAGAGAAAGAATGGCCCAGGAGATAGACACACAACACACAATACACTCCAAACCCAACACACACACAGAGACACATCTCAGCTCCATGGTCCACACAACACAAACACACACACAGCACTACTCACGTCAAAGAAATGTCCGGTCATGTCACAGCGGTGGCAGCGTTTGTGCCAGTAAGCTCTCTCCAGACAGTTGTCATTGGTGTGGCCGGGCAGTGAGCAGTTAGAACAGTAACGGTTCGGACAGATCCTCAGAAAGTGTCCCTGAAGCCCACATAATGAGCAGCATGACAACTTCTGCTCATAAACACACACACACACACACACACACACACACACTCCAAGTCACAATAAGGACAACTATGACACTATAAAGTTGGCATATGACATTGTCTTACAGCATTAAGAGAAGAAAACGTTATTTTTAGGTTAGATTTCTTTTTTTTAAAGAATTATAAAGTGTATTGTATCATGGTGAATATCAAAGATTTGTAATTATAATAATAATAATAGGAGTAAAAAATAACTACACTAAATATCCCAGTTTCTACTTATAATATATAATATAACAATGTTCAAAACAGATTCAATAAAATAGGAGTATCAAAAGAACAAAGAACAAAATAATCCTCAAATCTGAAAGACCACTTCACAAACTTACAACTTGTTATAGTTTATACCAGGGTAATTTAACCTTTTAGCCTAAAGGACCATGCTCAATTTTTATAGCATTTTTGTTTTGTATTAAGGAGGTAGACAATAGTATGGTAACAGCACATACCATGATATTCTTAAAGATATTATACTTCAATGTATCCGTGCTGAATAAAAGTATTAATTTCTTTCTTTAAATGTTATTGACCCCAAAATTTTGAATGGTAGACTACAAATAACCATTAAGTAACTGATAATTATAACAATCCAGTGAATTAAAATTATATATGCAACCTTTCAACACTTATCTTACACAAAAAGTTTGATCCAAAATGCATTGTTAACCATTTTTATTTCAATCCAATTGTCTAAAATTAAGTTTTGATCAGTCAATAGCAGCATTTTGTTAAAGTGGCTAAATTGTATAGTTGACAGTTTTTCTGGGCTAATGCGTACTATAGGTGTCAGCAGTTCATTGAGTGGAAATAAGGAGCTTTTGATCTTTGCTGTGGGGCAGGTGACTATAGTGTAGACATAGTGACGGGTGGATAATGATGTACCTTTGGTGCGGGGCAGTTTCTGGAGAGATGGCCGGACTTTTTGCAGTTGTGACACGTGATGGATTTTTCATTGTAGTAACGGTTTGAAACACGCCTCGGGCCAAACCCTTTATTAGAGATCTGAGCCTACACACACACACACACACACACACACACAGAGAGAGACAAAAATCACCTCCTATGAAAGACGATCCATAAAAATAACAATTATTTTCGGTTTAATAAAAAGTATGTTATAAAATTCCAGTATTTTCTTTCATTCATTTCAGATTTGACAAAAAAAATGCAACATTACCCCTTTATCCTTTTCTGATACAGCCCAGATCTGTTTATTCTCTTCATCATTTGCATGTTCTACAAAAAAAGATCAGTACATGAGAAAAACAAACTGAAACCATCAACATGAAATTAGATAAAACTTCAATAAGAGATTGTGTGTGATTATGTGTGCGTGTAGATGAAACAAGAGGCCCGCTCCCCTAATTTGACCTTTTTTTTTAGCTCATTCTCAAGAGACAGAGAGACAGTTACTACAGCAATACACAGCTGCACATCAGCACACACTGAATTAAAATACACACCACACACACACACACACATACATACATACAGAACACTAACAAAAACTCCACCGAGTCCAAAGTAATGAAAATACACAAAACATCTTGCAGGGAACAGACCAGAGCTGACCAGGGTCATCAAAATCAGCATGATACCAACAATTACTGATGCTAGATTAGTGTGTCACATTCTACTTGCACTGAAAAATGATACTGATTCATGAAACACAATTTGAAGTCATATTTTCACAGGCAAAAAACACGCACACAATTACAGATATCCACACTTACAGGCAAAATAATTACAATAATTATGAAAACAAACCATATACGCTCATTCATTAATGTGTTTGCTTTTTTAAATCTACACACCCAACACATCGCAACAATGCCCCCAAGCATCCCCGAGGACCCCCAGTACAATAAACAGGAAACATTTCCTTTAATCCTGATGCCCCCCTTCTTTCTCTCTCTCACAGATACACATATACACACACACACACACACACACACACACAAACACCTCCGTGTCCCTACGTGGGGGAAATGCCTCGTCAGTCACGGCCCAGCAATCACACAAAGCCAGAGAAAGGAGGACCTCACTATGGTAATCCTGCCAGGCCAATTCACAATGACACACACACACACACACACCAAAGATACTATAATGTACTTCTCATATGAATATTAGGAATATTTTCATATATCCACCCAGTTTTCACATCAAATCCCCCTCAAACACTAAAATAAAACAGTATGTGGAGTTTTTCCAATTGGCATCCACACAAAATATACAACACCACCAGAGGGGGCACTACAGAGTTAGCCATATTCAAAATCACAAAAAACCTTGCACTTTTCATACAGCCAGACAGGGATGGAAGGATGAAAAGTAGAGCAAGGGAGGGGGGAATAGTGGAATAGCGACAGATGCTAGTCTCATAGGTATGCTAATTAACATAGAACCAACAAAATAAAAATAAGAGGTGTGCGCGCAGGGTGCAACTTCATCAGTGTGTGTGTTTTAATGAATTCCAGCTGACTAATAGTCTGAGAGAGAAGAAAGCTGGCGTGCGCCCGGCCACTAGCATTGGGTCCATGGAGAACAAAACGGATGTGTAGGAGAAACTAATTAACCATGAACACAAGCTCCCATTAGAGAGAGAGACTGAGACACTATTCTGACTTTAAGAGTACTCTGTGTGTAGGGAACAGGCCATGTGAAGGCGTATCTCAAAACACAAACTGTCTGGGACTCTCTGAGTGTTTCCTCTCACAGCTGAATCACAGTCCTGAACTAAACTGCTACTAAAACTTCTTAATGGGATCCTCCTTGGAAAATTTATTTAGCCAGTTCTGCAGTGAACATGAGGCCACAAAGACTGCCATAGTCAATATACAGGACCATTCTGAATTTTTTTTTTATTTTTTAATCTTATGCTCACCAAGGCTGCATTTATTTGATCAAATACAGAAAAACTGTAATTTTTTTTAAATAACTGTTTTCTATTTTAATATACTCATGTGACAGCTAAGCCAAATTTTCAGCAGCCTTTACTTTAAGTCTTCAGTGTCACACGATCCTCTAAACTGCTACTAAAACTTCTTAATGGGATCCTCCTTGGAAAATTTATTTAGCCAGTTCTGCAGTGAACATGAGGCCACAAAGACTGCCATATTCAATATACAGGACCATTCTGAATTTTTTTTTTATTTTTTAATCTTATGCTCACCAAGGCTGCATTTATTTGATAAAATACAGAAAAACTGTAATTTTTTTTAAATAACTGTTTTCTATTTTAATATACTCATGTGACAGCTAAGCCAAATTTTCAGCAGCCTTTACTTTAAGTCTTCAGTGTCACACGATCCATCAAAAATCATTCTCTTATGCTGATTTGGTGCTTAAGGAACACCTTAACACCAGTTGGCCAGTTTATCTCATCATCTGCCTCTCTTCTCTATGGGGTCTCTCAGGGTTCCATTTTGGGTCCATTACTCTTTAATCTGTATATGCTTCCACTTGGTAATATCATAAGGAAATATAAAATCTAATTTTTATGCAGATTCTCAGCTGTATCTTCCATTAAAATCTCGAGATTCTCTGCAGCCTCTCATCGACTGTCTTGAGGATATAAAAAGCTGGATGTCAAATAACCTCCTGTAGCTCAACAATGATAAAACTGAGGTGATTCTCTTTGGTCCCTCTAAAACAAGAAATTTTGTTGTTGGGAACTTAGAAAACCTCACTCCATATGTTAAAGGTGTCATATGATGCTTTTTTAAAGATCATTATTTTGTGTATTTGGTGTAACAGATACTGACATGCTGACATGCTTTAATGTTCAAAAAACACATTATTTTTCAAATACTGTACATTATTGTAGGTCCTCTATGCCCCGCCTCTCTCAAATGCTTTGTTTTCTACAAAGTCCCTCCTTCCAACAAGCGCAGTCTGCTCTGATTGGCCAGCTGACCCAGTGCATTGTGATTGGCCGAACACCGCAAGCACTCGTCGGAAATGTAACGCCCCTTACCATAATCACGAGCTTCATCTTTCAAAATAAATGTAAAGACAGTAAATAATGTCATTAGTTTTACCATCTGTTCAAGCCCAAAAGGGGAACAGAGTCACGTGACAGACACAGTAATGAAGCTGGTATTGTGTTTGCAGTACACAAGCCACGGTTAAGACAGCTGACTCCACTGTGATGTGACCCCCTCTCTCTCTCTCTCTCGTGCTCTCTCTCTCTTTCTCTCTTGCGCTCTCTCTTTCTCTCTCTCTCTTGCGCTCTCTCTCTCTCGCTCTCTCTCTCTTTCGCGCGCGCTCTCTCTCTCTCTCTCACTCGCGCACACACAAACACGATGCGCAAAACTCAAAAAAATTTGAACCGTCAATAGCAAATACTTAAACTAATAACAAAACAGTAGCTGATTCAGAAGCGCCAGATTGTCATAGCAAAGTCAGAATTACCTCCTCTCCTAGGTTCACGAAACGGTCGTTCATAAAATGCATTGCTGTTCTGTTGTAAGTCATCTTAAAGATTCCTAAATGCATCTACTTTCGGAAGGCCAAATAAAGTGCTTTTGCTTTCGCCTAGAAACACACAGCGTCTCCCTGACATGCTGCTTCAACACTGCGGTTACTGAAACCACGCCTTCTTTCTTTGCGTGCACATTTGGGCGGCATTATGCTAATATTTCCACATAGTGAGGTAGATATGTGGGGGCGTGTTAGAACGAGCCGTTTTAGGGGGGCGTGGCAGAGTCTTAACTTTGATAAAGAATATCTCTTTGGTTTTGAGACTTTAGTCTTTGCAACTTCAGGGATCTTATCTATGCACAATCAGCTTGTAACACTCCAAAGAGAAAGGAAAACTTGAAATCGCATCATATGACCCCTTTAAGTCTCATGTAAAAAATCTAGGTATTATCTTTGACTTGAGCTTTGTCTTGAAAAACAAATTAGCCCAGTTGTTAAAAATAGTTATTATCAGCTGAGGATCATCTCGAAGCTTAAATCAACACTTTCCTTTCAAGATCTGGAAAAAGTCATTCATGCTTTTATCACATCACGCCTGGATTACTGTAATTCGTTATATGTTGGTCTTCCACAATCTTTATTGGCACGGCTGCAGATGGTTCAGAACGCGGCGGCTAGATCGTTAACCGGCACCAAAAAACGCGAACATATTTCTCCAGTTTTAGCGTCCCTTCATTGGCTTCCTGTCTTCTTTTAGAATTCAGTTTAAGATTTTACTTATTGTTTTCAAAGCTCTTAATGGACAAGCCCCATCTTATATTTCTGATTTTATCTATTTGCATTCAACGCCGAAGTCTCTCAGAACCGCTAATAAAGCTCTATTACATGTCCCTCGGTCACGACTTAAATTAAAAGGAGACAGAGCCTTTGCAGTCGCTGCTCCACGTTTGTGGAATCAGTTGCCACCTAACATTAGGAGTGCTTCTTCTGTTTCTATTTTCAAGTCCAGACTTAAGACACATTTTTACTCTCTCGCCTTTCCGGGCTATTAATTGAATGTGAAACTGTTGTTATTGCCGATATTACAATTTCTTTATTATTGATTTTTAAATTTTACTTTATTTTAGAATTTACTGTATTTTATTATTGGTTTTGTTCAGCACTTTGGTCAGTGTAACGCTGAATTTTAAATGTGCTCTATAAATAAAACTTACTTACACCTGTTGTCATTATCAATGTTGAAAATAGTTACTGCTTAATATCGTTTGGAAACTGTGATACATTTTCAGAATTCTTTGACAAATAGAACGTTAAAAAGAGCGGCTTTAATTTAAGATAGAAATATTAGAAATCCTTCTATCATTATAAATGTCTTTACTGTGACTGTTAATGACTTTACTGCATCCCAGGTGAATATAAAAGTATTAATTTATTTAAAAAAAAACTTTTTGACCCCAAACTTTTGAACATTAGTACAATTTTTATAATATCAATTAAAAACATTTATGCAGAAACCTTTATGCAGAAACAAAGAATTATGGTTCATAATAAATAATTGAAATTAGGATGGTGTGGCATAGTGGTTAAAAACTTGGTCAGGTTGTAGGTTTAAACCCCACCCCCCAAAGCCAATTGCTGCTGTCAGTCACGTCCTTTGATTCTAGTGCCACATGGCATTTCGGTTAAAGTGATTGGCCCAAAACAGATCTGACCACCCATGAGCCAGCAAATATGGCATATTTGAAATTGCATACTACTATGGGGTCAAGCAGCGGCCAATCAAGAGCCTTTGGGCCAGTTTTACTAACAGC